TGTATACATAATCGGTGCGCGTTTATCGCAAGATTAGGCGCACACGGGCGTGAGATTTTTGTAAGAGGTAAGTATATATTTGTGATTTATATGTTACAAGTGAGCGCGGCGCGACGCGTCATATTTTATTTTCATTGTCACTACCATCATCCAGTGAGGGGACGTTGTGTATAGGATGGATTTTTAATTTTTTGTTTGTTTTTGTTTCAATGGATAAAAAACTCTAGAAATGAAAATATGATGCCATTTTGTCATCATTGATGTGTAAAAATTGTATAGGGGACAGCGGGGTCTAGGTATAACATATTATATACATGTATAAATAGCATGATGATGACGAGCCGACAAGTATGAGCAGCTCGATTCACGTGCTGCAGTGTATAGGTATACGCTACAGATACGTTGGGTAAGTATATACACATATGCACATCCCGTGTCAATTCCTCGAGCGCCGAGAGCACCGAAGGGGTATACCACTATATACATCGGCTCGGCAATCATTTGGCGCCTGCAGTGCGTGGGCGATGTCTATACCATGTGCATGCGTGCTCTCGCACCGGAGACATAGAGCACAACCTGGACGATTAGAGAGAAATAGATAGAACAAGCTCGAGAACCCCGGGCGTGTATACATTTATGGTACCATATACATATCGCTACTCCTCCGTGCAACTGTATATAGAAGATCGGTAGTGCCGATACTTACTATCCATTCACTGTTTTCTCCGCCCTTCCATGTACCTATCTACAATATATCTTTTTCGCGTAAACATATTATTATATGTACCTACCTATACTGCGTAAACTTTTTTGTTTACCCGCGTGCACGCATGACACGCGACTCAATACGTGCAGATGAACGTACACCCGAATGAATCGATTTGGGTGTAGCTGCTGTACGCGCGACCGTGTGTGTATATATATATATTTGCACAGTGTGTGTACATATATACACACACACACACACACACACACACACACAGAGGAGCTTAGCGAAGAAGATTACGCTCACACGCGCTCGTGCGGATCGCTTTGGTGATTGCACGCGCGCGCGCTCGCGACTCGTGTAGGATATTTTTTTTTTTTTTTTTTTCAACTGCTGCCTTGCCGTGTTTCTTTTTTTTTTTTCTACCAGAGCTCGAGCGATCGAGCGTTTCTCGCGTCGCGCTCGGCAATTTAGATATTGCGATGTGATTTCTCTCTCTGCGCGCCAAACTTTAACACATTCCCTCATACGGTCGGAGGCTCGGACGAGAGCTTCTATATATGATTATATATAAACATCATCGCGACCATCTCGTTTTTTCATTCCTACCACGTTTATTGCTCTTGTTTTTTTTTTTTTTTTTTTTTAACATATGTATATAGTTGACACATACTCACACGGAATAAGAACCAAATCAACTCTCCGTTTCAAGAGATTACCGCGCAATCGAATAGTTTGCCTTTTTATCGTCATATATAAAAATGTGCATGCCTTGGGCTCAAAATATCCGTATACGTGTATCCGAACGAGCGAGTGATTAATTTACAAAAACTCCCGTCCTCGACGAAACTGTGTATCGGGCGATGATGAAAACAACGCGAGAGAGAGAGAGAGAGAGAGAGAGAAATCGCGACTGAAATTCAGTGTCTCCATCATCCAGCTCCGAGAGAAGAAGACGCCGCGTCGTCAGCTCTCGGCATCGCCTCTCCTCTCAATTATTATTTTTCATACCTTTTTTTTCTTTTCTTTTCTTCATCGAGCTACGGCCATCAACGGGGGGGGGGGCACGTTAAGCATCTCCCGAGAGAAGACGAAGGCCCCAAGGTTCCAACTCGCCCCCTCCCTGCCGCCGAAAAATAAGAAGAAGAAAAATTCTGCACGAGCTGTGTATATATATATATGTATACGGAAGAATAAAAAGAAAACGAGACGCGTGTCTGTATAGGTATACACGAGCGTGACCCAAGTATACACGCGCGAGAGCTCGCGCAGAAACGTCAAACCGCGCGTGTTTGCAGCCATACCCACATAAATAGGCCCGAACGCTCTCGTGCACACACACACACACACACACACACCACGACAGAGTAAACCAGTCGGCTCGGCTGTGGCCGGCTCATTATGAGCAGGAGAGAGAGAGAGAGAGAGAGAGAGAGAGAGAGAGCTAAAGCCGACATGCATCATTAATGCCGCTGCCTACTGCCGCCGACACACCGGCTCCCACGATACGCGCCAACTATATATATACGTTGGCAGAAGTAGTGGCGGCGGCAAAATTCGCTCTCTTTTTCAGCCCGTCTCTCTCTCTCTCTCTGTCCGTCCCCCCTCAAGCGCGGCAGCACGTCCTCGAGTCGAATATGCCTATATACATACACGTGTAAGCACTAGTGTGTGTGTGTGTGTGCTGCGCGTGACGGCAAAATTCGTGCTCGTGTGTAAATTTTACTTTAGCGAGCCGCTCTCTCCGCGTGTCAGTGTAACCTGTCATATATTACAATATATTTATATGTATATACGTATATGTATACGTGTGGAGGGCGAGCGAGAGGCTCGTTTGCATTCGTCGCTTTTTTCTTTTTTTTTCTCTTTTTTTAATAAACCCCCTCCTCCCCCCCCCCCTCACAGACTATCTGTATAACTTTGGCAACGTTATTTCTCCTTTGGACATTTTTACAATGCAAGATACACACGAGATATACATATATATGGACAATTAGCCGTCAATTGAGCGGTGATAGCCGGCGGCGTATCGGTCGTATACAGAACTACGGGTATGTAAGTAGATAGGCAAGGGGACAAGGATTCGTGGGTAAACTTGGGCGTGCCACTGCTGAATCTCTACTGCCAGTCAAGTACGCGCGAGTCGGTTCTTTTGCTTAAATAATTGTTTCCAGGTATAACGTGCATTCTACTGATACATATTTGGACCGGGGGAAAGGATAACTTTGATTATCCTCCTGCGTGCCACTCGATGCTCCCCCTGTACGGCCACGTGAATCGATAAACGCACTTGGCTCGGATCGATCGGCCTATTGATTTCTCTCTCGGTACGTACCACGTAAGTCTGCGTATCGTGCACTAGGTGTCAATTACGTTTTCTTTTTGTCTCTTTTCTCCGAGTTAATGGTTTCACAAATTACCCCATCAGTAGTACATACCCGTGATTAGGTCAGACTGGCAATTACTCTGCATTGCGTATATTATATACGTATATACCTATATAAGAAATTGTAACATTTCGTTTGAACAAAGTCCAATATACACATAACAATGAGGAGCACATAACATGATGTTTAGAACATGCATGGCTTCGCGCTATCAAAAACACTCGCAGTGGTGTGTGGTGCAGTTGCAGCCGTTAGATGCATCGGCACGCAGGCATAGATATATTTTGACGTGTGTATATTTTATATACGTGCATGCATGCAGATGATGATGAAGAGACTCGCGATTTCAGCTGAAAAATGTTTGCCGGGGATCCTTCCTCCCTCCAACCCCCTTCGCTCTATGGTACGCACGAGAGAAACGAGGCCCCCTCCTCTCGTCGAGAGTAGTCGAGCTGTTCTTTTTTTTTTTTTTCTCTCTCTCTCCTTTCTTACGCCCGACTACCACTACTACCCAGCCTCGAAGGTTCCTCTCTCTCAGGCCTCCGCTTCCCGCCCAACCATCGGCCCCCTCGCGCGCCTCCAGCGGCTCCTCTCAGGACGTGCGAAGGCGAGCGAGCCACCGGTAGCCCTATAGCCCCCGTATCGCCGATAAATAAAGATGAAGCCGCCGCGATAAAATGCAGGGCACGAGCGAGGTCGTCGCTATACCCCCCCTTCCTTGCCTACCTCTACTGTATATATATATATATATGCCGTACTACTATCGTATGCTATAACTACGCTCGCCGTCGTCGGCGCGGTTTCGCGCGTCCGCCTTTTTTGCCTCGCCTCGTAACGACGTGGCCTCTCTTGGCTGTATATATACATATACTTCTATGCTCTTATATCCGGGGGTATATTAAGCTCTTTCTTTCTCTCTTCTCCTCTGATGCTGTCAAGTTGCGCCAGCGTTCGTTCGACTCTATATATACTTTTTCTTTTTTTCTCTTTTTTTTTTTTTTTACTTTATTGCGCTGCGTGTGACGCTGACGCGACTTTACGGCCGCTAACTATACCTGCGTAGCTTATTGAGCCCGAGGTAAGTATGATACTTACACGTGCAGAAGATGTGCCGACGGCACACTAGCAAAAATATTTGTTGCTGGATGCTCTTACATAAAGGCATTGATGGGTTACGTTTTTTTTTTTTTTTTTTTTTTTCAATGTAGAAACGACAAATTGTCGAAAACAATTGTTATTCAGAGTTTGCGTTGCTACCAGTAAAATACAGTATCGAGAGATAAGTCTCGACAGTCGCGTCTGGCCTATTTCGACCTTTTACTACTTAAAATGCTTTTTTTTTCGTCCGCCGTCGCATGTACCGTTAGTGTGTTCGTCGCATACAGTGCATCCGCCCTGATGATCATTTTTTCAACAACTAATTAAAAGTGTCTAAATATCTCAACTACCCGCACCTAAAAAATCTTTTATGAAAAAACCATTGCAATTATAAAAATAAATTCGATAATTATGTTACTGATAATTCCAGTGCACATTAAACGTTGAATATTTTTCAAAGCTCGATACTCAAGTATACTTTTACAATCTAAATATTTCTTTTATTGATTTGATTGTACGACTTAATATCGAAAGCTAATTTATTTCGTAGACCGCGCATTAGATGTATAAATTATGTCGTAACAATAATTTTAAGGAGTATATTTTATCACTGCTTTGCACGTAGTATACAAACGTCACGTCTTACATGTCTGCACAGGTGTACACAAGCGCAAGGACGAAATCCAGAATGTATTTTATTAATGAAAAAAAAAAAAAAAACTTGTTCATTCACATGCGATAAAAGTTATTACAGTAAAAGTGTAAAATAATAAAATATCCGAGTAGAGTTGAGTCGCCGCGAAAATTACCTCATCCGGTTTAATGTGTTTGTTCCTGTTTCCCGTGACCGTTTGCACATTGTAGAACATCATCTGAAATCAAGTAGTCGCACTCGTTGTTATAAAAAAAAAAAAAAAAAAAAAAAAAAAATTGTAAGCTATGAAGCGGATAAAAGTATAAGTTTACTGCTCATTACCAAAAATGAAAAAATGATCAAACACGCAATGCCCAATATATGCCAGGTGTTTGCCGTCCTTGGAATAATTTTAATGGCCATAAATTCCATTGCCATACACATTACCCCCACACTAAAGAAGTATCTCAATCTGTCATACTGGGTCAAATCAAACTGAAATAAATATACATATTTCTTTGTTGCAGTCATTCTAAATAAATTTTTTTTCAATCAAATAGTAAAATAAAATCCAACCGCTTTACTGTCGGAACTGTACTATTATGCACTCATTGCGATTTTTAAATTAAAAAATTCTTACTCGACCTCTTTACTTGTGCAGTACGAAGTTGCATGAAGAATCCATGGTTTTAATGGTAATAATATATGTGCAGGTAAATTGTGATGCATGCACATGTCTACAGGTGATAAAAATCAAGGCAATCACAACAAGTCATAAAAATACCATCAGGCATTTGTCTGACTATCGATTTAAACAAAAATCAAATTTAAGACGAAGTTTACCAATCGTTACGTGACATAATTTATAAAATAATATTGATATTTTAGTGATTGAAAAGGACTTCCAAATTGTAGGAAAACTATGTTGTTTTTGTGATACATTGTTTTTCTTTCGTGTTGATTTTTAAACGTTTGTACAAATACCAACCTCCACGTTGGCGGCCATACAGTGTACAAGTGCAGTGAGCAGAGCCGTGACTACGACGGACATCAAAACCGTATAGCCTATAAAATTATCTGAAAGTTCAAGCGTCATTGCAGCCGTCTCGTAGGCAAATGATGCAGTCTAAACAACATCGAAAGGTCAAATGAAGGTTTTTTCGATAATTTTTGCGAAAACTGTTGATTGGCTTACCAGGAGACAGAAAACCATGACATTCAGTGGCGCAGTTTGTCGGGCGCGTTTACTGATCAATATCGATGACAACGTGATGAAGATGATACAGCTTTATGCAGCCGAGCAAGTTTTCAATTATTAACAAAAAAAAAAAAAAATCATAAAATTTATTGATTAGTTGAAAAAATGAAACCACGAGGCAACTTACATGGATACAATGCGCAAGGCTTCATTCGTACGTATGAAGTTTCTTGCTTCGCCCCTACGAAACGTAGTTGGAAAAAATTAAAATACCTCCCGTATTTCGATAATAACTTGCTTCGCACGAAAAATCTCACATCGTCTTACACAAAGCAAAAAATAACTATGCTAAGGCACGTTAAAATCAACTGAAAAGTTAAGAGTATAATAGTCTTCACGATGAACTCCCTGTGCACGATCTCGTCAAAGTCATCCTCGTAGCTTTCCAGCTCATCGAATGAAAACTGTGACACTAATCTCGGGTTAATCTGCCATTGTGCGGCTATCTCGCGATTTCGTCTCTCACGTGTGACCGCCATGTCAGTCGTGACCCTCACGCTGTACGGACCCTTTTAATTTTACTGTTAGATTTACAATCAGCAACAACAACAATAATGATAATAGTAATTTGCGCGAAAATAAATACGCACCTCGTTTATCCTTTGGCCTTCAATCAGAGGTGATAGTTGGGGTGGTCTACCTGTCTCTCTGGCCATCATCAACTTTTGGAGTCACTTGTGTAATGATAAATATTTTTCTTTTTCAACGATAACGAGCGTTCAGCTGTAAGTCTGGAAGAAATATTTTTAACTTGCTCATCTCAACGTTTATGAAGTATAAAATAAAATTAATTGTTGCTCCAAAGTGTACAAAGTTAAAAGTAACAGTCAAAATGACACGTCACCATATGACGTTTTTCCGTAGATCGATGTCTTGCCATTGCATTGTGAAATTAATTTTCTACTTAAACAATAATTAATACATTTTAAAATCAACGGAGACTACAGAATCGTCACTATGTCTTTGAAATTGTATCAGGATTCGGTATGTCTGAATGACGGTGGTTATGGTCATCACGTGATTAACACTGACACAGCGAGTACTACGCATTGTCAATGTGAACACTCCTTTTAACGAGTAAGTAATGGCCAAAAGGAATTATGTTCCCAATGCAATAGTTTCACCAGTATTTGGAGATTGGAAAAATCAACAAAATACGCTGACGTAACCATAAATATACACAAATGTATGAGCACCACAAAAAAAAAAAAAAAAAAAAAAAAAATAGGCGACCCAAACCTCAAAGGTGCTACCTCGAGAGTCTTTTGTTTCCGATGCCAAGGAAAGCTCAAGCCTCTCATTTTATTATTCGATATTTAAAAAAAATCGGGTATTAACGCAGCGACTCTCCTACTCTGGTTAATCATTAAAAACAGGGTAATTTCATAAAGTAACAGGGTACACAAGAGCAATCGTCGAGCTGCTTATTTTTTGAATCAATCATCATCGTGACTTGTTTCACATGGTGCATCTACAGCCATCATAGGTATATAGTATTATTCACCAGTGGACGGTGTTCCGGAGTTTTGTGCAGCAAAAAAAAAAGCAGCCCCCCTCCCTTTGATCCCAACACGAGAAAGCGCGGCTTATGTATATGCCACTGCTGCAGACGCGAGCATAGCTCCAAAAAAAAAAAAAAAGCGCCAAAAAAAGCGTAAGTATATAGTCGAGCGTGCACCATCGGTAGGTAGGAAGGAAGGAAGGAAGGAAGGAAGAAAGAACGCAGCAGAGGATGAAGCTTGAGAGAGGGAGAGAGAAAATTCGAGCGGGGCTTTGATGCGGTGAGTAGGTGATGTATATATGTATATACCTGTATATCCCGTGCTGGCTCTCGTCTCTGAAACTCGGAGCGCCCGACCCCCACCCTCAGGGGGGGTGCTGGGGGCAGCGTGACATTCTCCGACCTCCCTGTCGAGCTGGCGCTACCGTTGCCGCACACTCCCCCCCCCGCTGCCACCGAGCTCGCCGTTAATCCGTTTATCGCGTTACCGCCACCGCCGCTCTGCTGCCACCCTACCTCCCCCCCTCTCTCCAACCCCGGTACGTAGGTATATATATATGTGGATACCTAATCCCCCCTCGGGACTCGACTCTTCTCTCGAAGCGAGAGCGAGCAGTGGGTATATGTGTACATATATAGGTATACGTATATACACGTATCCGCACGCGTCAAATAGACTCGCCCGCACGCCCTCATTGTATATGTATACATGTGTATATCATCTGGTATCTCGGTACTTTTTATTCTTATGCACCTGGACGGTGCAGCGTCACGCGTGCGGCTCGCGATCGCGAAGGGCGCTCAAGTAATTGGGTTATATCATTACGCCCTCGCGATACTTTTCAACGATCGAGCTTCAAGCTATATATTATACTACCCCTTCCCTCCTCTTTTTTTTTTTTTTTTTTTTTTTTTTTTTTTAATTTTGGTTGGCGTGATTTTCATTTGACCGACCGGCGTCGATGACCCCCTTCCCACGGATAGCTCAAAATTTATGTATTTCGTTTTGTTTTTCCGTTTGCTTTATGCATATATATATATCCATACTATGTATTGTTTGTTTCTTATTCGACCCTATAGCTGTGAGAGAGTGCGGTTTCGAGACGACTCTGTAATTTTTACCCCCCCCCCCCCGTGCGACGGGCGTCAAAAGCATACAGGGTCACAATGTGCAATAGCCCAATGCCACAATCGTTCCAACCGTGTGTGCACTTGACGAGCACTACACTAATAGGGATTATTCTGAGCACTTTTTTTTTTGGCACGCCGGTCTCGCCCCCCCCCCCTTCGTACGTGCACAAGCGCTTCTGCATCATTGTGCCAATCGTCCGTACGAGACCATGCCCAATGATGCGTAAGTAAATATCGACCCATATCCGCAGATGCATATGTCCAGTATGTCCGTTGCGTGAAACTTTACAGCGAGAATTGATAACGAGAGAGATGGAGTAAAGAGCAGCAGATTTGCTTGGACAATGTACATATATACAATTGCGATGATACGTTTATACGTACGCTTGGATGGCATATCTCCACAGCTGCCCTGTTCTCCCCAATAATAGTGCTTACCTATATTTGAAATGACGTTTACCCTTGGACCCTACTCCTATATACCTATATATACTTAATACCTATAACGACACAATTGTGCAAGCACGTTTAATAATAACAATATCTACAACGCGTGTGTATATCACATGTGTGGCACATGATTGTAAGCTGATTGCGTGTAAGTATACATGACGGTTCGGTAAGAGGTGTGCATGGTTGTAGGCATAAATATATAGGAGAAAGGGAGCAAGGGGTAAGAATCGGCGTATTGAAAAGCGCTGATCCAAACTATAGGGGGGACCGCACGGGTTTCGTTGTTATTCGCGTATTGGAGAATAATAGAGTTGCCCCCACGAATAAGTATACAATGGTATACTTACATAATATACAAAAATACTCTCGTCACACTCGTGCAGCTCACCGGTGGGGGGAGTACGCTCCCCTCCTATTTACCTCGTCACTTTGACCGTAAATGATAGCGCGGTGGGACAGGAGGTAATAATATATAGTCGCGCCCAAACGGGAAATGTAATATACTTATGATACGCGTAAAAAATTACAGTTCATTCGCAATCGTGCACCGTGGTGAGGTGCATGACGATTCAAAAGACCGCAGCCCCTCCGATTTTACCGTAAAAAAAAAAAAGGTGATTCAATTTTCGAGAGCCGGGCCGTGTGGTATTACGTACGTACATCCAGCGTGGGAAATCGGCCCGGGGCGCCCATCCAACATTTGCTCCATGTTAAATATATTTATGCATGGGGGGGGGGGTAAAGGGGAGGAAGGGACGATCGGGACTTTTAGGTGTTGCACCATCATACACGCGCGCGTCGCTTGGTTCTACCCATAATTATATATTGTGGGTGCACGGGTGGGTAATATACCTATTGTATTAATTTGTACTTTCGGGGTTGCATAATTTTCCTCCAATTTTTTATGCAGGATTATCATCGGCACTGCACCTATCTACACAAAGTCTACAGTAGTTTTGAATACAATTGATTCTTTCAAAGTACACAAGTATCCCTCATTTCGTTTCGACATCGCCTAATTTCTTGAGATTTACGTGTAAACCTGCAGCTTCTTTGTTTTTTGTTTTTCGACGCTCAAATCTTCACGTTTCCCGTTGAAAAATTGATTTTTCTTATAGAGCATAGCTGGATAAACGACGTTTGGCACCGAGTGAACTTTTACTCGTACGATCGTTCTACAATGAATTTGCAAGTTGGGTACAATTGTTATAACGAATGCGAAGAAACGAATAAATTTTAAACAAAGCTGTTGTGCGAAAAAAAAAAAAAAAAAAAAAAAAACTACCTATCCCGATTAGCGCGTCGCTCGCGCGCGAGCATCACGAGCAAGCGCCAACGCGGACGCGCCACCGCACCGTTGACTGTTCCGTGTACACACAAACACATCTAGTATGGGTACAGCAGCAGCTCGGCACGTCATTGAGAGATTAAACCGGTGGGGTGGGGGGGGGGGAGCGATCGAGCGAACTGCGCGTTAATTAAAGCCGCGCGCTCGCTCCTCTCTTTGCTATATATGTAGGCATACCCGTGTACTCATATATATACCTATACGTTATAGTTTGAGCCAAAACCGGGACCATGTACATGTGGGGAGAAACGAGATGACGCTTCCCGGGAATTTTTGCGCGTGGGCGCCTACGTATATATATATATATCAGGTAACTGCACGCGCTGTGCCACACACACCGCCGAAGCATCGGGGCGGGATTAATTGATCGCTCGAGTGCCTATCGGTAATTTGCGAATATACATATGAGCACCGGTGCTGCGTACACGTCGTACCTGCAAACTTTGGGTGTTGCGATCGGTTCTTGTTGCATTTTTACCCTTTTTTTTTTTTTTTTTTTTTTTTCATATAAAAGGTTCATTT